GAAGCCAGGTGTGTGTTAAGAGTGTCCCTGCTTGGAGACCTAGGGAGGCCATTATGTGAAGTCTAGATTACCTTGGAGACTTCAATATATAGAAGATGCCAGAGCCATGGGATACCTGCCAAGGAGAGCTACTAACAGGTTCCCTTGGAACCAGTCCAAGGGAAAGAAGTATCTGGCAGTCAACAAAGCTGGAAGAAGTTGGAGATCTGACATGTGCTTTGACATCAGACATGGAGATGCAGAGTTTGGAGTTTGCCATACCGGTTTTCAGTTTTGTTTTAGTCCAGTATTGCCTCTCCACAATCTCTTCCTTCCCCTTTGGAGTGATAATGTATACCCGATGTCATTGTTTGTTGGAAGCATTTGATCTGCTTTTTCATTTTGATATTACAGGGGATTACAGTTAAGAGATTACATGAATCTCAGAAGAGACTTGGAACTTTAGATTTCTTTAAATAACTTTGAGACTCTTAAAGACTATTGGGGCTTTTGAAGTTGGACTAAACGCATTTTGCCTTATGATATGGCTACAAGCCTATGGGGGGGTCAGTGAGTGGAATACGTGGTTTGAATAAAAATTACCTCCATAGGCCCGTAGGGACTGGCACTATTAGGAGGTGTGGCCTTGTTGGAGTAGTTGTGGCTTTGTTAGAGGAAGTGTGTCACTATGGAATAGGCTTTGAGAGTTCAGATGCTCAAGTCAGCCCAGTGGCTTGATCTATTCCTGCTGCCTGCCAGTCTAGACACAGAACTTGCTACCTCTCTAACACCATGTTTGCCTGCACGCTGTCTTGCTTCCCACCATGACAATAACAGATTAAACCTCTTAACTGCAAGTCATCCCCAATTAAACGTTTTCCTTTATAAGAGTGGCTATGGTGTCTCTTCAAAGCAATAGAAACCCTAACTAAGACAGTCCTATTTTGATTTGTTTTATCATATTTTATTTTATCATTCTTTAGATACTTGTTTGTTTTCTAAGGAAAAACAGAAAGGGTGTGAATTCAGATAGGAGAGAAGATGGGGGAGAAATGGGAGATATAACTATAATCAGAATATATAAAAATATCTATTTTCAATAAAATAAAAATTATTTTGGAAGCCAGGAGTTGTGGCTCACACCTTTAATCCCAGCACTTGTGAGGCAGAGGCAGAAAGATCTCTTTGAGTTTGAACCAGCCTGGTCTAGAGCTCCAAGATAACCAGAAAGACCACACAGAGAGACCCTGACTCAAAATAAAATCTATTTTGATAATCTTCAATTGGCCAGTTCATTTGTGTTACCATAACTTCTGATGTGGTTATACTTACATCTACCATCTTGTAGTTTGGATATGTTTGTTCCTATTTCTTTTCTTTTCCTTTCTATTTTTTGGCTTAAACAAGTTTTTAAGATTCTGTAACTGAAGCCAGTAGTAGTGGCCCATATCTTTAACCCAACACTCAGGAGACAGAGGCAGGAGGATCTCTGTGAATTTGAGCACACCCCCCACTCTCAGTCTACAAAGTGAGTTCCAGGATAGCCAGTGCTACACAGAGAAGAAACCCTGTCTCAAACAAACAAACAAACAACAAAAAGATCCTGGAACTTGAGTGATGGCTCCAGTCTATAAAGATTTCATCGTGTAAGCATAAGGACCTCAGTGAGGATCCCCAGCACCGTGTAAAAAGCCCAACACAGCTCCCTTCCTGTAATCCCAGCACTGGTGCAGAAGGCTCTCTGGAGCTTGTTAGCCAGACAGTCTAGCTGAATTGGTGAACTCCTGGTTCAGCAGGGAGTCAGGAGAGATGGCTCAATGGTTAAGACACCTGTTCTTACAGAGGACCCAGGTTTAGTTCCTAGCACCATATAGTGGCTCACAACCATTCATAACACCAGTTTCAGAGTATCTGGTCCCCCCTTCCGACCTCCTCAGGCACCCACCCAGCACCCAAGTGGAACACACACACACACACAAAATAGGCAAAATACTCAGATACATAAAAGTTAGATAAATTGTTTTATATAAGTTGGAGCACTCCTGGACTCCACACACTTATGCATATGCATTCATAGTAGATTAGGTAGGTAGGTAGGTAGGTAGGTAGGTAGGTAGGTAGAAAGAAAGATAGATAGATAGATAGATAGATAGATAGATATCCCATTTCATCATCTGTATTAGTTACTTTTCTGCTGCTGCAATAAAATAGCATGACCAAATGCAACTTAAAGGAGAAAAGGGTTTAGTTTGCCGTACAGTTCCAGAGGGAGCGCCATATGGAGCAGACATGACAGCAGGGATATTTGGCATGGCCACAAGAGCTGGAAGCAGGATTGTCACATTTTCATCCACACACAGAAAGCAAAGAGAACAGGAAACGAGAGAGACTTTGGCATTCTTCCTGTGGCAAGGCTCCACCTCCTAACGGTTTCCCGTAACCTTCCCAAACAGCGCCACCTATCAGGCACCAAGTGTTTAAATACATGAACCTATGGCTAACATTTCTCATTCAAACACCACATCATCTGCACTAAATTATGCATTATGCACCTTTATTTTGTTGTGATTCCTTTGTAGGTTATAGTGGACATTACCTTTTTTATTTTATTTGTTTTGTTTTTGAGGCAGGGTTTCTCTGTGTATCCTTGGACATCCTGGAACTCACTCTGTAGACCAGGCTGGCCTGGAATTCACAGAGATCTACCTGCCTCTGCCTTTCAAGTGCTGGGATCAAAGGCGTGCGCTGCTACCACCCAGCTAGAAGGCATTATCTTAAAACATGGTACCCACAAAGTCACCATACCACATACAATATAATCATCTTATAACTGTCAACTTTTACTCACTTTCTTATGTATGCTATTATGGCCACATAATTTTATCTATTTACATTGTAACTTCAGGATGTATAGGGATTTGTTTTTACTTTGGTCACCATTGTGCTAGTACCCTAGTTTGTTTTTTTTTAAATATTGGATTATTATTATTATTCTAGATTCTGGCACTACATGTATACAGGGTAGAGACTTTCTCCTGACAGTAAACCGAGGCACTCCTAGGGCTCTACTAGTTTCATTCACTGCCTCATGTCCAGTATCTTGGAAATGATTATTTCACATTTTTTCCATTGGATGATAAGATACAGTTAAAATTAGCACAAATTTTGGCCATTTAAACAGATCAGATGGGATGGACAGAGATGGATTATGGCACTCAGGAGCCAAAGAATACTGAGTGTTGCAGCTTGGATGGAAAGATATTCTGGTACTCCGGAGCCAAGAAATACCACAGGACATGGTAAGCATAGCAGCTTACAGCCTTGCTTCAGGGAAAGGCTTCCCTCGTGTATCAGCTCTGCTCCAGAGGGAGAGGGCTTCCCGGCGAAATTGTTACACTTCAGCTCCATTCCCCTGGAGAGTGTAGCAACTTCAGTTTGCCAGGGGAAGGTTTACCCCAGCAAAAAGTGTTACAGTCCTGCTCTGCTCTGCTCTACCCAGGGTCTTCTCTGCTCTGGCGAAAGAAGGTCTCACCCATACCTCAATAAAGAGACTTATTGAAAGAGAAGAATCCAGGAGAGTGGCTGCCTGAACAGCCACAAACTGAAGACTCAGGGTTTATATAGGGACTCTTGGAGGGGCGGGGTATGCAGAATTTTCCAGGGTGGGGATTGGTCAGATTTCAATTCCTGAGCTTAGGATGACTAGATCTCCTGCTCAGGGATTGGTTAGTTTTCTGCACAGAGTTAGGGTCAGATTTGGCTCTGGTTTGAGGGCCAAAATGTGTTTCTTTCTCTGGTCCTTTTTAGCCTTTTGGCTCTAGTTTTAGGACCAGGGTGCATTTCTTTCACTGGCTCTGATTCCAGGGACAATGCGTGTGTGTCTTTGGCACTGGTTTCAGGGTCAGGGTACATTTCTTTGGTTCTGGTTGCAGGGCCAAAGTGTGTTTCTTTGGCTCTGCTCAAAGTGTGTTTCTTTGGCTGGACCCCTTTCCCTACATATAACACATCAACTTCAAAAAAAGAAAATGTGGAGATGACTATGTTCTTGACACACTCTGAGGACCTACATTCGGACCCCAGCCCATATGTAAAAGCCAGGCATCCAGTGTGCAGCTCTAACTCCAGCAGCACTGGGAAGATGGAGACAGGCTCACCAGAACTCACTGGCCAGACCATCTTGCCAAATAGGTGAGTTCCAGGATCCAGCGATACAGACAAACAAAAGACAGAGGACCAGCAAGAGGCTCGGTGGACAAAGACTGATGATGTGAGTTAGACACCAAAGCCGCACACGGTGGAAGGAGAGAACCAATGACCAATGCCCGACCTCTGCAGTGAGTGGTAGCTTCCCCCCCCCCCGCTCACTGCAGGTGGTACCAGCCCTAGGCAGGCTGTCTTGAGTTGTATAAGGAAGCAGGCTGAGCAAGCCATGATGAGCAATCCTAACACACACACACACACACACACACACACGTGCATGCTCACAGTAGGTAAGCAGATGAGCAAATAATTTAAAATGAAGGTGGAGAGAAATAGAGGAAGACACTGGATGTCAACCTTGTCTCCAGGCACACACATGTAGCATACACCACATATGTGCATACAAAAAAGAATAATCTATAGGGCTGAGGAGATAGCTCAGTGGTTAAGAGCATTGAGTGCTCTTCCAGAAGACCTGGGTTCAATCCCCAGCGCCACATGGCAGGCAGCCCACAACTGTCTGTAGCTCCATTCCCAGGGGACCTGACATCCATGGAAAAACACCAATGCACATACATTTTTTTAAAAAAGAAAAATCTATGTGAGTATCCCAGTCTGAAGTCCTACCAACCCCTCATACTCATCATGACCTAACTGTCCTGTCCCCTCCTGTCTGGAGTCTTAGCCTGGGAACAACCACTAGCTTTTGTCTAAGTTATACATCCGTTTCTTTAGCCCTGTGCGTCTAATTATTAGCAAATCTGACCAATTCTAACTCACCTGTCTCCCCTCTCTTCCTCTATTCTCCCTGCTGTACTCACCGTGAAGGCCAGCATCATTGCTCATGTGGCAGTTTGTCCTGTATCAACTCCGTGTGACTGGAACTACTTTCCCAGTAGTGTCTCCCGCTAAACCAAAGAAACACAGGTAGAACTTCAGACTGGGATCCTCATACAGATTACATAAGGAGACAGAGGCCGGGGTACCACCTAATTCGCATTAGGTGGCATGCTCCTACCGTGTAGCTGAATCCGTGGCGACACAGCCCTATGAAAATAGCTAGAGCATGTTACTTAGTTACCATGGGGACAGCAGAGGAAGAGCATTTGCAGGGAACTGTGGCAAGGGGTCATCCTTGAGTTGAGTCAGGCATCCTCCAGGTAAGGCTCGGTAAAGCAGGAAGTCCCCCCACTGGGAGGGAGTCCTCCATATTGTGCCAAGCCTGGAGAGAGCTGCTAAGCTAGGATTAGACTGCAACCTCTAACCAGTGGGGTCTCCTAATACATCCCCATGCCAGCAGATGTCTGAGGTTTCCTCAGTTCTCCCTTTATTGCAACTAACTGGCCCCCCTCTCTGAACTACAGAAAGGCTGGTTAGTGACTGGTTTTTTGTTTTTTTGTTTTTTTTTTTTTTTAGTCTTCCAGCTCCCCCTTCTGGACTGTGACTTGAAACTTGCCCCATAACCATGCAAGATCTTATTCCTTGTGACAATTCCTTCATTCAGTAATACTTAGCAATCCCACCTCGCTAACTGTCACATCGCCACCAGCGAGACTTCCTGTTGACTTTCTCACACGAGCATAAAGCATGCGAAAGTTGCCATGCCATCAATACTCTATAAATAAGTTTTTAAAATCGCGTGTATAACCTCACATCCAAATCAAGAAATAGAACACGAGTCAAGGCGGCCGGAGAGACGGCCCAGGCGTTAAAGGCTAGGCTCATACCCAAATCTGTAAGAAGATGAGTCAAGAAGATAATGAATATGAACTGAAGAGATGGGGTGGCAAGTGACTCCCCTCTCCTCCCCTCCTCCCCTCCTCCCTACCCCTTTTGTGTGCATGGGGGTGGCGTTTGGCTTGACTTTTTTTTTTTTTGGCTTGACTTTCAAATCACTCTACTATTTTTAACATTTTAAATTTCCAAAAATGAAGCCACAACCTTGAGGAGATAAGCCTAATTTATATATAAAAAAAGAAAACAAACAAACAACCGTTGGACATGATAACAAGCACCTTTCACTCCAGCACTCAGAAAGCAGAGGCAGGAGGATCTCCATGAGTTCAAGGCCAGCCTGGTCTACACAGTGAATTCCAGGACAGCCAGAGCTGCCTCGTGAGATTCGGTCTCAAACCCCACGCTATGGAATAATCCTTCTGTATACTGTGAATATGTGTTGCTTTCGTTGGTTAATAAAGAAGCCAACTGGCCTATATCAAGGCAGGATAAAAGTTAGGTGTGTCAATCAAACTGAGGACACTGGAATGAAGAAGGGTTGAGTGAGAGAGTCATTGGCCGATGCAGAGAGAGCAACAGGGGCACGCCATACTGAGAAAAGGCACCAAGCTACGAGGCAAAGCACAGATAGGAAATATGGATTAAGTGTAAGAGTTAGCTAGTAACAAGCCTGAGCTATCAGCTCCTTCTCTGGCACCCCATCTGCCTGCCCACCACCACCACGTAACACCATGACCGTAATGGATTAAACCTCTGGAAATGAAAGCCACCCCAATTAAATGCTTTTCCTTTACAAGAGCTGGAGTGGGTCATGGAGTCTCTTCACAGCAACAGAAACCATAACTAAGACACATTACCTTCCTCTTCACCAATATCAGGATAAACTGACATCCTTCCAATGACACGCATGACCCCTACAATAATCAGTCAGAGGATAACATTTTAATAATGAAGAAATAACCTTTCTGATGTGGAATATTTGTTCAACTATGCAAAGATGCATTGCATTTGTTTAACTCTGTAAAGGTGTTGTGCTGGGTGGTTTTGTGCGTCAACTTGACACAAGCTGCAGAGTCATCAGAGGAAAGAGCCTCAGCTGAGGAAACACCTTCTTGAGATCCAGCTATAAAGCATTTTCTCACTGAGTGATCAATGTGGTACCATCCCTGGGGTCCTGGGTTCTACAAGAAGGTGGGATTAGCAAGCCGTAGGAAGCAAACCAGTAAGCAACTCCCCTCCATGGCTCTCTGCATCAGCTCCTGCTTCTGGGATCCTGCTCTGTTTTGAGTTCCTGTCCTGACCTCCTTCAGTGATGAACAGCAATGCTGAAGTGTAAGCCTAATAAACCCTTTCCTCCCCAACTTTCACTTTGGTCATGGAGTTTGTTTCGTTACAGCAATAGAAACCCTAAGCAATAGAAACCCTGACTTAAACAGAATAGGTTACATTTGTTTAACTATGTAAAAGATGTGTTGCTGTTCTACCTTGCCTGCCTAAGGCACCTGATTGGTGTAATAAAAAACTGAAAAGCCAATAGCAAGACAGGAGAACTTCTGGGCAGGAAGAGTAAGGAGGAGGAGGAATTTATACTCGGGGAATAAAGAAAGGGAGACAACAGGGGTCCGCCAGCCAGATACAGAGGAAGCAGGAAAGTAAGACATACAGAATAGAAAGAAAGGTAAAAATCCCTGAAGCAAAACGTAAGTGGATAGAAAACAGGTTAAATTAAGTTAAAAGAGCTAGTGGGACAAGTCTAAGATAAGGTAGGGTATAATTAATAATAAGCCTCTGCGTCTTTATTTGGGAGCGGGTTGGCAGCCCAAAGAAAATTCCATCTACAAAGGTCGAGCAACGTGAGACCTGAATTTCCACATAGAGCCTAAGAAAGTTGGGGGGAATACAGCTCCTTTAAGAGGTGCAACTATACAGCAGAGCACTTGAGCAGCCACACTCTAAGTAGAAACAACAAACTAAGTAAAAACACCTGCCACAGTGCAGACACCAACTTCTCAGAGCTGGAGTGGGTAAATGCAGCTGAGACAGGGCAGCCTCACAGACTATTCCAGCCAGGACTTGAGATAAGCCTTGCACTTTCCCATTGCACAGAGACTGAACAGCAAATTTTGTAGTTGGTTTTGTTAGGACTAGACCGTCATCTCAATTTTCTCAGGGTCTCCTTGGGATACCATCATCCCCAGACAACGGGAAGCAATTTAGAGAACACAGTGCCCACGTTCCCAAGAAGTGGAAAGGGTGGCTTCCCGTCTTCCGGTGGGTTATGGATGCTTGCCATCATTTAGTGGCAATATAGGAATATAGGATTATAAAGACACCTATTCATCTCAAATATTTTACGTTGGTATGGATTTTATATATTGATGCAGATTTGAGGTTATTTTTATTAAACTGCATACATGTTTCTGCACTTGTTTAAGGTATTGTACCTATGCATCTTATTTTAAAATGTAATATAAAGTTCTGTCCTTGAAAAACATTATTACAAACCATTTAGGATAATTTAAAAATGCAAGCTATAGTTAGTCATCTATAACAATCAAACTTGTAGACGTGTTAGATGTGTTTTTAAGGTTAAAGAAATATATTTTAGATAGATAAGTGATCTTCAAATGCTTCAGAGACTTAACATAATATTGCATTTAAGACGGTTAATAACCTAAGGCTTTTCATGACAGTGAGACACGTTTGTTCCTGTCAACACCAATCCACTTCATAAAAGGATGATGGACATCAAAGAACTTCCATATGGAGTTGACTTTCATTGTGGCAAGCTAGCCATTTAGGCAAGAAACTGCTCTTACCTCACTGCTGACAATATACTGTTCAAACTGGACAAGCAGGACACAAAGGAAAAAGACCGACAAACTTTACCAAGACAAGGTAGGAGAGTCCTTCAAAATTCCTGCTTCACTGAAAAGTGTCAGATATTCTAGGCCTGTAAGCCAAAGATGGATGGATGCCCCAACAATGCAGAGGAACCTGGGTTACTGTCCAGGCAACTAGCTGCTTCTGTCCTTTCTATAGTTTGGAAGTTGTTTGCTCTGTACGTCCTGTTTACTCAGGTAATGGAATATCCTCTTGGGCCTTTAATGAAGTTGAAGAAGAGATAGTTAAAGTTATAATTTTCCTTGTTACCAAATTCAGAAAAGAAACTTGCATAAGAGATATAAAATGAGCCGGGCGTTGGTGGCGCACGCCTTTAATCCCAGCACTCGGGAGGCAGAGGCAGGCAGATCTCTGTGAGTTCGAGGCCAGCCTAGTCTACAGAGTGAGTTCCAGGACAGCCTCCAAAGCCACAGAGAAACCCTGTCTCGAAAAACCATAAAAAAAGAGATATAAAATGTTTAAGATTGAGAAACAAAAGCTTAAATTGTTTACCTAAAAAAAAAAAAAACGTTTTTGAGTTCTAAAAAAATTAGGATAAAAAATAAGTGCCGGGCGGTGGTGGTGCATGCCTTTAATCCCAGCACTTGGGAGGCAGAGGCAGGCAGATCTCTGTGAATTCGAGACCAGCCTGGTCTGCAAGAGCTAGTTCCAGGACAGCCTCCAAAGTCACAGAGAAACCCTGTCTTGAAAAAAAAAAGTTAAATACACAACTTTGGACTCACCAAAATAGGATCGATAATCTTTTCTCAGAATTTTCAAATGTAAATGGACTGTATATTGTAAATGTAATTCTTAGTTGACAATTGTTCTTATTGTATACAGTCATGTTAAAGCTAAAGGCTTTCTTTTTATTTAAACACAAGGGAGAAATGTTGCAGAATATTTGTTTAACTATGCAAAGATGTGCTGTACTTGTTTAACTATGTTGCATTTGTTCCTTTCTTCTTTGAGACATTTTGACCCATTGTTGGCCCCTACATATTCCTTCTCCCAGCGTTGTATTTGTGAGACTCGGCCACGCTGGTGAACCTATGCCGAATGCAGAATGCAAAGCAATCAGCTTTGGCTTCTTGAACATTAGAAAGACTGGAGAACTGATATAGGCTAAAGCCATCTGGAAGCCCTTGAAGCCATGGCCCTGAGCTCATGCAAATCAAAGGCTACTATCAGTAACATTCTTTGGATAATTGAGAAATAAAGGCTATAGTTTTAAAAATTTTATTATTTTTTAATTCTCTGTGTGTGTATGTGTGTGTGTGCATATACATGTGGGTATGTGTATGTGAATGCAGGTGCCCCTAGAGGCCAGAGAAAATCTGATTCCCTGAAGCTGAAGCTAAAGATAGTTGCAAACTACCTGATGTGGGTTCTAGGAACCAAACTCGAGTTCTCTGGAAGAACAGCAAGTACTTTAATTACTGAGCCATCTATCCAGGCCTAGCTGTAGTTTTTTAAAGGTGTGTGTGTGTGTGTGTGTGTGTGTGTGTGTGTAGACTTGCAGAAATGCACATTCGTGTGTGTGTGTGTGTGCTTGCACATGTATGTCTGGTGCCAAATGAGAGTTATAGAATCCCCTGGAACTGGAGTTACAAGCAATTGTGAGCTGCCACGCGAGTGCTGGGAACCAAACTCAGATCCTCTGTAAGAGCAGCAAGTGCTCTGTGGTGGTTTGAATAAAAGTGACCCCCATAGGCTGATAATATTTGCATGATTAGTTCATACACTATCTGGAAAGGATTAGGATGTGTGACCTTGTTGGAGGAGGTGTATCACTGTGAGATTTCAAAAGCCCTCGCTCCCTCTCCCTCCTTCCCTCCCTCCCTCTCTCTCTCTCTCCCTCCCTCCCTCCCTGCCTCCCTGCATCCCTCCCTCCCTCTCTCTCTCTTCCTCCCTCCCTGCATCCCTCCTTCCCTCTCCCTCTCCCTCTCTCCCTCCCTGCATCCCTCCCTCCCTCTCTCCCTCCTTCCCTCACTCTCTGTCTCTCCCTCCCTCCCTCTCCCTCTCCCCCTCCCTCCCTCTCTCTCTCTCTCTCTCCCTCCCTCCCTCCCTGCCTCCCTGCATCCCTCCCTCCCTCTCTCTCTCTCCCTCCCTCCCTGCATCCCTCCCTCCCTCTCCCTCTCCCTCTCCCTCTCCCTCTCTCCCTCCCTCCCTCCCTCCCTCCCTCCCTCTCTCTCTCTCTCTCTCCCTCCCTCCCTTCCCCCCCTCTCTCCCTCTCTCTCTGCCTGCAGCCTGAAGATCAGGATGTAAAACTTTCAGCTACTTCCGCACCACCATGCATGTTTGCATGGGCTATGTTTCCTCTCATGACTAATGGACTAAACCTCTGAAACTGTACAGAAGCCCCAGTTAAATGCTTTCCTTTTTAAGAGCTGCCGTGGTCATGGTGTCTCTTCACAGCAATAGAACACTGACTAACCACTTAACCACTCCTAACCACTGAGCCGTTTCTCCAGCCTAAAGCCTCTGGATTGTATAAATGGGTAATTATACCACTTGTTACCTGCTTAAATATCTTGAGGCTACACTATAGGAGAAAGTTTCTTGTCATTTAGGACAGTCTAGCTGTATGACCCAGACTGCCCTGGAATTCACTGGGTAGCCCAGGCTGGCACTGAACTTTCAGTCTCCGGTCTCAGGCTCCCTAGTGTGGGATTACAGGTCTGTGTATGCCCCATGCTCAGAGGAGAAAGCTTATATTTTTTAGAAAATACATACTGAAGTATTGCAATGGTATTTCTAATGATTCACGAAACATACACAGACATACATGTGTTCTCTTTATGAGGAACGCAAAGAGATTCAACACAGGTAAGATGTCAATATGATCAGAGAGGCTGAGACCTCTTCAAGAACGGCTAAGCCATCTCTCTGTCTCCCACGCTTAATGCTGATTTGCACACCACTAGACAACGTAATCCTTGAGGAAGGACCGTGGTTTTTAACCTTCCACTCAACCCCCAAGCAATTTGTGCTGAACCAGTGACCATGCATATCTGTCTACCTCGTTCGATTATAATCTCAGACACTCTTTTACCCAGATGAATATAAAAATCGTTCCGGTTTTCTATATTTGTGGCCCAAACTCTGTTTCACGGAAATAATAAGTGCCATAAAAATCTTTAAAATAAGCCGGGCGTTGGTGGCGCACGCCTTTAATCCCAGCACTCGGGAGGCAGAGGCAGGCGATCTCTGTGAGTTCGAGGCCAGCCTGGTCTACAAAGTGAGTTCCAGGACAGCCTCCAAAGCTACAGAGAAACCCTGTCTTGAAAAACCAAAAAAAAATCTTTAAAATACCAGAATCCCTGAGTATGGGACTAGGGGAGACATGCATCTTGACTCTACGCCTGCCCAGGATACCTAAGACCAGCAAGAAAACCTAGTAAGAACTCCATATAAATTTGGCTAATCCCTGCTGAGTGGATTTGTCTGTACCCAAGCTAGAGAAGACTCGGAGTCCCTGTAAAACTTTCTTAATTTCTGACTAGCCTCTTTCTCCCACACTAAGTTATAAAGCAGTGTTTATATGAAATCATCAAAAACTGATGGCTCAACCATCAGCCTTATAAAACTTCAAAACATCTTGTAAATATGAGTCAGGGTCTGAGTAATAGGCTTGCCTCTATTATAATTACTAATGTCATTGCTGGGGCGCACTGGACTCTTGCACGATGGTGTTCTTGAACTACAAGGGGAGAAACTCAACTTTTTATACGTAAACCATTATTCTCAAAAGTCATGGAGAGCTGAGTCGTTTAATGACTTTCCCTGGGAAGATGTGAATTAACGTCTGTATACCCCCCCAGAGAGCACAACGAAGAAACTAGCTTGGTGAACCGATGAGTTGCCTGGGGATACACCCAAGAGGAAGCTGGGGCACCCGAAACCCACTCCAGCGTGGGGCTGACTCAGAGGAGCCGCATTCCTGGAGATCCTTGCACACCTTGCGGTCAGCATCATCAGAGAGTGAGCCCCTCCCCGTCATTGGTTAGAACTTTTCTCAACCCGTGCGAATGGGCCTATCAATCTTGTGGCTTTGTAAGCTTCCGGAGCCTTATAATTTCATTAGCTTCCTGAGTCTTGCGAGTCTCCTTCCTTCGAGAAGGACTATTTTAATTCGGAACTTAAATGACATCAGTTATGGGGAAGTTCGATGTCTGTAGTTACTGAAATTTTAAAATAAATCTAAATACAAACTGATACTTCCTTCATATGGCTGGATTTTTTTTTCATATTTGAAGTCTGCTTAAAGACAGGGCCGCCTGGTTATTTTTGCATGACATTCTTCCTCGATGCTGTAGCTAAGTGACCCCTTTTCCGTCCTGAAGAGCTCAGGCCAAAGCCTTTTGGCCTGTGGGGGAAGTCTGGACTGCCTTGGGGTTCTGTCCTGAATTTCTGCTGCTCAGAGCTCTAGAGATTCCTGGGGAATGCAGAGGGCCTGGGATGGACACCCTCTGAGCAGTTGTCAGTCACTGACACACCTATACAAAAGCTCCAACACCACCCATCACAATAACTGATTACAGAGGGTTCTAGAAAACAAGGCAGTTGTGGACCTCAGGGTTTTCCCCCCCATATGTCCATCTCATCCCTGGTTCAAAGTCACACCAAAAACTTACCTCCAGGTTATCCAAGAGCGATGTCGTCATCATGATAAAAATTCCACATCTTCAGTGAGGAGGCCTAGGTAATCTATTGAGCCTTGGGTAGTAGATCAGTGTCTATCCCGGGTATACAAATGGACTTTGGGCTCCCATCCAACAACCAGAGATGCACTCTCACCCTGGACTCTTGGGGGAGGGCCTTGGTCCTGCCCTGGATGAACTGACAGACTGTGGACACCCCCCCATGGAGGGCCTCACCCTCCCTGGGGATATGAAGGGATATGGGGGGGTTGGTGGGAGGGCTCGGGAGGAGGGGAGGGAAAGGGAGAGGGACCTGGAACTGACATGTGAAGCAACCTCGTTTCTAATTTAAATTTAAAAATAAAATATAAAAAAAGAAGGCATTAAAACAAAAATTCCACATCTTAGACTGAAGGTACCCAGAGCATTAGTGATGTGGGAACAAGAGAGGGCTTTTATTCTAGGATTTGTTTTTCACTTTATGTGTATCAGTGTTTTGCCCGTTTTACATGCCTGTGCACCTGTGACAAACTTCCCTGAAACTGGAGTTATAGAAAGTTGATAGTTGTCATGTGGGTGCTGGGAGTCACACCTGGGTCCTTTGCCAGAACAAGCGCTCTTAACCACTGAACCACCCTCCCAACCCAAGAGGGCTCTTGAAGCAGCATATCCTTGATTTTTATTCAGTAGTCAATAAATCATAAAAACCACTAACTTTATTATTGCATTTATTTATTTATTTAGTGTGTGTGTGTTTGTGTATATATACACATATATATTCACACACCTAAATAATAAAATTAACTAAACAAAAACAAGCTTGTCATTTTCATTGTATCAGGCATTTGGCAATAATGACAGAAAGATGTTTAGTAGCTTATTCCCTCCACTGTTCAAGTTTTGGCCACACTGGCCTTCTCTCCTTTTTCTAAAATGCCCTGTGTCTTTCTGCCTCAAGTTTTTCCCAGGCTGACACCGGTTCTCACCATCATGGCCAACCTCTGGGTCTGCAACTCTTTCTACTAAAACTCTGCCTGTCCTGCAAGATCAGTTCAAATCTTATCCACTCTTATGAAGCCTTGCCATTTTAGAGAAAAACAAACAACGAAACATATCTATTTTTAATTTCTATTTTGCACGTGTGGGTGTTTTGTCTGTGCACCACTGGTGTGCTGTAGAGGTGAGAAGGTGTTGGATCCTTCCCAAGTGGAGTTACAGATGGTCGTGAGCTGCCACTTGGGTTCTGCGAGCTGAACGCAGACCCTCCAAAAACCAGTGCCCTGAACTACTGAGTCACCTCCCCAGCTCCAGGACATATATTCAGACACATCTCTTCTATGCTCTCTTAGCGGTTATACGCCACGCAGTTGGCCAGTCTTGGGATACAAAGACAAGCAAGTCGTTCTTCCATAACTTAGTGGAATGTCCATTCCCAACAGGCCGGAGCAAACAACGGGATGCAATTTGGAAGGGGTCTGTGGACTTAAAGGGTCCTCACTCCCACAGCTCCCTCTGGAAGAAAGTAACTCGGGTAAGTCTCCCTATATATAAAGTCACCGACAACGTGGGCCAAGTATCCTGCAGTGCTGTCCTGGCCTTCCCGCCTATTGAGGGCCTTGCATTTTCAACTCTGCCGGGCGTCGGAGGGCAGCAGCTGGCAAACTAGACTCCCCTCCCCCAGAATCCCTTTGAGGGACTCACAGATGGTCTCCCTAAACCCAGGCAACACCCTGCCTGGATGTCTGTATCCTCAGGGAGGCAGAACTCTTCTCACCAAGGAAGCCGTGGGAAGAAGCAGTAGGATTCCTTAGGCTAATGCCACGGATCTTAACACCCCTGCACCTTTTTGTTCTTAAGCAACAGCAAGGCCCTTTCTATCTGAGCAGTTAGTTCACAGGCAGCGCGGAAACGGGCTGGCCTGCCAGGAACGGTGGTGGGTGTACCAGGCCTATAATCCCAGTACTTGGGAGGCTGAAGAAGGGAGTTCATGAGTTCAAGACCAGAATGGATTTACGCTGGGGATTGGGATGGGGGTAGGGAGGACTGTGGGAATATAAGCAAATAATCCTGCAGACTGACTAGCAACTGGGCCTCGAACTCACAGAGATCCGCCTGTCTCTGCCTCCCGAGTGCTGAGATTAAGAGCGTGGGCCACCACCACCTGGCTTACTGCCACGGTTTCTTCTTTTTGTTGTTTTTTATTTTATTTTGGTTTTTCGAGACAGGTTATCTCTGTGTAGCTTTGGAGCCTATCCTGGCACTCGCTCTGTAGACCAGGCTGGCCTCCAACTCACAGAGATCCTCCTGCCTCTGCCTCCCAAGTGCTGGGGTTAAAGGCGAGCGCCACCAACACCTGGCCTCACCACAGCTTCTTAAGCCGCAGGTCTGGACTCTGTACGAAGTTGTGACCCTGAATGTGAGGCTCATGAAACTCATTGGGGGGAACGCGGGAATCCTGAAATATTTGGCAACAGTGAAAGTTCTCTGGAAGCATGAAGGAAGACAAAAAGTTAACACAAGTTCAAATGCGCAGCATGGTATGGTGGCACGTGCATGTAATCTGACCACAGCAGAGACAGACGCAGGAGGCTCTCCACTATAAATTCAAGGGCAAACTGGTCTGGATAGGGAGTTCCTAGACAGCCTGGGCTTTGTGTCAAGACCCTGTGCCTCGCCGGGCGTTGGTGGCTCACGCCTTTAATCCCAGCATTCGGGAGGCAGAGGCAGGTGGGATCTCTGTGAGTTCGAGACCAGCCTGGTCTACAGAGCGAGTTCCAGGACAGCCTCCAAAGCAATACAGAGAAACCCTGTCTCAAAAAACAAAAAACAAAACAAAACAAACAAAAAAGACCCTGTACCTCAAATCAAACAATTAATAAATAAACAAACACAAAACGAATCCCTGATGGTTCCGGCATCACTTGCCTGTGGTGCACTGAGCAACTTCACTGAAAATGAGTTTCTGTGTATGTCAACATATACGCTTTGTGCTGGACGCACCATCATAGCACACAACACCAACAAACACTGCCTGGGACACGTGGGCTTGGGATAGAAATGCCGTGTTAATGAGCTGCATGGAGCTGCCAGTTTTCTACTTACATAGAAACGTAATGGTTTTCAGGAAATTACGACTATTTACACTGCCCTACCATCCATTTCCCACTGTGTACATTTTACACTGTACTATATTACGTCTTTGGATTATTGTATACGTGAATGTCGGGAATTTAAAAGAGCTGTTTGAAATGCTGACGTGAACTTCATTTCTAAAAATCTAAATGAATTTTGGCTTGAGATTAGGGCAGGATTTCCAACGATTTCTGAAATGGTTCTAACAAAACTGCCTTATGCAAAGTGGAATTGTCAGCACTGAAAATTAAAAATAAAAAAATAAAAATATTCAACCAGTCTGAGAAGCATAAAAGATGTTCCTTATCCTGTAATATTAAATGTTCAATCAAAATTTAGTTCTTTTCTCTTTTTTTTTGTTTTTTTGAGACAAAGTTTCCTGTTTTGGAACCCACTCTGTAGATCAGGCTGGCCTTGAACTCAGAGATCTGTCTCCCAAATGCTGGGATTAAAGGCTAAAGACCTATGCCACCACCACCTCTACTGTCACCACCCAACCCTGGCTCCAAGATTTAATTCTTCACATAAAAATAAATAGGCACCCCTATTACATTAGAATGCAACTTGGTTTTCCCTGCAAATAATTGGTAAGATTATACATATGCCAAAGAATCCTTTTAAAATAAATTTATACTTACTGTGAGAAGATGTTTGATTTGGAAATCCATTTCTATATACCTAGGGACATACAAAATTTTCTCAACAATGCCAAGCATAGAAAGTCTAAGGACTGAGGTTGGAGAGATGTCTCGGTGGTTAAGAAGCTGGCTGCTCTTCTAGAGCACCTGGACTGGATTCCCAGCACCCACATGGCAGCTCACAACTGTCTACAACTCCAGTTCCAGGGGCTCCTTTCTGGCCTCTGAAGGCGTCAAGCATACAAGTGATGCGTAAACATACATACCGGCAAAACACCCACACACATAAAATAAAATGTTTTAAATTTTCAAATGTCAAAAAAAACCCACAGCTGGGTCCAGAATTAAAGCAAGTTACTGTCTCCTAGGTGTGGTGGCACAGCCATTAACCCCAGAACTCTGGAGGGAGGCAGTACAGGTGGGTCTCTGTGAGCTCCAGGCCAACATGGTCTACATACTGACAACCAGGACTGCATAGAAAGTGTTGAATGATTTTTTTTTTTTTGCTCTTACTCTTTGGGCTTTTTTGAGGGGTCCACCACCCAGCTCCCAAATAAATCACACACAGAGGCTTATTACTGCTTATGAATGCCCAGCCTTAACTTGTCTTCTTGCTCATCAGTATTTCTTAAATTAAATTATCCCATCTATCTTTTCCCTCTGGGCTCTTAACTTTCTTACTTCTGTATATCTTTCTCTCACTCTTATTCCAAGGCTGGCTGGCTGACCCTGATGCCTTCCTCTCCTTGTTCTCTCGCTGCTCCTTTTCCTAGGTTCACCTTCTACTTTTTTTTTCTTTTTTTTTCTTTTTTTTTTTTTTGATTTTACGAGACAGGGTTTATCTGTATTGTTTTGGAGGCTGTCGGTCCAGCCCGGCCTCGAACTCAGAGATCCTCCTGCCTCTGCCTCCCGGGTGCTGGGATTAAAGGCGTGCGCCACCACCGCCCGGCTTCATCTTCTACTTATTTATACTCTCTGCCTGCCAGCCCCACCCATCCTTGCTCCTGCCTCAATATTGGCCATTCAGCTCTTTATTAGACCCATCAGGTGTTTTAGACAGGCACAGTAACACAGCTACACAGAGTTAAACAAATACAGCATAAACAAAAGTCACACACCTAAAAATAGTACTCTACCACACGAAAGACTTTGTCTAAAAAAAAAAAAAAGGCAAGTTAATATCCAAAGGAAGGCAGATTCAAGTAAATCTCTAGGGTGACCATCTTACACATGAGACAAAGAGACCCCTGGGAAACTGGCTGACTTGATCGAGAATCTCTGTCAGTAATGGCCAAAGCTACAGATTTCTAGACTCCCAGGGCTCCCGGAATTAATTTTGGGTCCTCATGCACTCAGAAACCTCTCACTGTGGACAAATTTTTCAGGATTCCCACATTCAATCACACAATCACGTAGGGTTGATACTCACAGTTGAAGCAATGGTCCAGTTGTTGGTCATTCTATATGATTGTTTATATCCTCATGACCACCGTGAGACCCTTAGGATTTACCTCTCAGGCTAGGAGTTGTTCTAAAATATTTGCCGGCTTTCATTTTTTTAGATTTATTTATTTTATGTGCATGAACATTTTGCCTGCATGTGGGTATGTGCATCATGTGTGTGCCTGGTGTCTTTGGAGGTAGGAATAGGACATCAGATCCCCTGGAGCTAGAGTTATTAGACAGTTGTGAGCCACCATGTGGGTGCTGGGAACTCAACCTAAGTCCTCTGAAAGAGCAGCCAGTGCTCTTAATTGCTGAGCAAATACATTAAATATATTAGATATTTAATGTGTGGGCTTAAACGCAAAAGTTAGGAGAGGGTTATATGCTCAGGAAAAAGTAAAACACACCTGGGAGCGTGGCTCTGGGTCTCTCGAAGAAAACTGAGAGAAGTAAGAATGAGACGTGTGTGGCTCTTCAGTAGAGAGTTGCCTTTGTGTAGCTTTTTTTTTAAACCCAGGACTTCACAGCAAAGCTAACAGGCACAGGCTGAAGAGCACCTTCTTTGACCTTCCTAGTCGGGCGTTTCCCTTATCAAATCCCCTCCAGTTTATAAAACTTCAGTCCCACACATGGGCCCACCCCAGCAAAGGGGATGTGTTGAAAGGGGAAGGAACTCCCTCCTTAGAAGAGCTACCGAAAGGAGACAATTGCAAAGCAGCTGGAGGCTGCAGCCAGAGCTGTTCCCTATAGTAAGGGTGAGATGGACTTCACCCTTTGAAGGATTGACTCCAAAGGCAGGTGATGTCAGGGGATCCGAGTAATTCTTTCCAGAAGCAATAAATCCCAATACTTTGGGGACCCCAACACAGCTGAGCTATCAGGAGGAGAGGAAAATTAGATTTGGGGAACCAGCCTCCCCAAATATTAAGAGTAAGGGCTCATCCAAGACTTCCACGTCACTATTCACCATCAAAGGAAATCAGGATCAACCGGACAGGGATCTGGAGGCAGGTGCTGATGCAAAAAGGCCGTGGAGGAGAGCTGCTTACTGGCTTGGTCCTCAGCCTGCCTTCTTATAGAACCAGGACCACCAGCCCAAGGATGGCACCACCCTCTTCCATCATCGCTAATTAAGAAAATGCCCTACAGGCTTGTCTGCTTAGAGACCAAATTTCTGGAGCCTTTTTTTTTTAGGGTCCCTTCTCTCAGATGACTACAGCCTGTTTTAAGTTGACATAAAATTAGGCAGCACAATCAGGGAGCTCTGTGTATGTGTGTGTGTGTGTGTGTGAGAAAGAGAGAGAGAGAGAGAGACAGAGAGACAGAGACGGAGTGTACTGCTCTTGCAGAGAGCAAAAGTTCTGTTCTCAGGTTGCTTCCAGGGATCTGACACCCCTGGCCTCCCTCCAACACCTGCACACGAATACACACATTTACATACAGACACATGCATACATAATCAAAAATAAAAGTAAACGATAAAATACATAACCACCAGCTACAAAGAAAAGCCCTCAGCTACTAACTAGTTCGGGTCTTTCAGGTTCCTACTTGGGAATTGGCACTAATGGCAATTCTAAAGGCAATACACCTTCGGTGCCACACGGGGGCTCCACACCAGGCTTCTGGAGGAATTTTGCGTTTTAGGTTTTTTTCTTCCTTCCCTTGTTATTATGACACAAACAAATGAATTGAAAAAAGTCTGTGGTCTCTGTATTAACATAAAACTACCGCACTGCGTTAGTGTATATACTTCCAAACCTGCCTAACTTTGTTGGACATAAAATTTTATATGAACATTTAATGAACACATAACAGTACACATAACACATCCTATTATACACACATTTTAACATCAAAATGAAATCGTTCCATACTATTCTCTCTCTCTATATATATATACATACATATATACACACACGTGTGTATACGCAAATATATAATCAATATCTTTTGCTGCGTACATGATGCCCAGGTACATCACAGGAGGGGGTCAGATCTGTGGAAACTGGACTTATTTACAGACGGTTGTGAACTGCCTTGTGGGTTCTGGGAACCAAACCCCTCTGCAATAACAGCAAGTGCTTTGAGCTGCTGAGGTGTCCCTCCAGCTCCATTAAAACATTTTTAAACGATAGAATTTTATTCCATTTTTTCACATCATTAAAACGTTTATTATAATACACGCATTGTAGAAAACCCTATAATTTCATGTCATTTAAATGCTTATTATAATACACATATTACAGAAAATCCTACACGATGCCTACCGTGACTTACCAAGCCATTTTTCTGTTGTTGGAAGTATTAATTCCGTTTCAAGGCAAAGATAGGCGTACGACTGCTGGCCAGTTGCAGAAGTGACCGAGCCAGGGGCGCTCATTGCCCGCCGAAGCCGTGAGCCCAGGTTTTATACAGCCAAACCAGGTTTGCCACTGCTGAGTTGACAGTTCTGGTGAGCAAAAACCCACCACCAGTCCCCACCGCGAGCGCCACAGGGACCTGCAAGGGGCGGAGCGCCGCTCAGGGGCGTGGCCTGGAGGTCGGGGTGAGGCGGGGCCTCGTGCGGAGGGCGGGGCCGGGCGCGGCGGCGGTGGCGGCGGCGGCGGCGGCGGCGGCGGCGCTGCCGTTCGCCGCTCGAGCTGCAGGTGGAGCTGTGCCGCCGCGCTGCCTCCAGGAAGCCTCACGGGCCTTCGTCGGCCTGGCCGCGGCGCCGGCTCCCAGGATGCAGTGTGGAGTGGCCGGGCGCTGACGGTGGCGGTGCGGCTGCGGGCGGAGCGGCGGGAGGCCGGCCTGCGAGGAGCGCGGCGGGGAAGGAAGGCAGCGGCCCTGCCGGCGGAGAGGACCGGGCGCTCCGGGCCTGCGTGGGGCCGCGCGCCGCGGCGTCGACTTCCTCCGCGCCGGGCAGGACAGCGCAGGGCCATGGCCGAGGCGGCCGCGGCTCCGGTAAGGGCGGCCCGCGCGCTTGGACCGCGCGGCCTCGGGCCCCGGAAGGCCGGGGCCCAGCACGCAGTGCCGCAGGCCCCAGGAGGGCTTCCGGGCCAGACCGGGCCTGCGGGTCCTGGGGCTGCGGCGAGCGGCCGCGAGGTCCGCCGGGGCCTACCGGACCGGGTGGAGCCGGGCGCCGGGAACCGCCGTCCGCGCCCGGGAGGCCGACCCGCGCCAAGTTCCCGGTCTGCGCGTCCCCGGGCCGGGCTCCTTCTTCAGCGCCCGGGCTGGTGCTTCCCTCCCCCAGCTCCCCCCCAGCGGCCTGGTGGCACCTGGGAGGTGTCCGTCGTCGATTCCGCAGACACTGAGCACCCACTGTGTGCCCAGCCCTCCCCAGGCGGCGCGCGACGGCTGCTCTCCCATTTGTCCTGCCAGGCTGGCGCTGTGCTCAGCCCGGTTTAGACATGATGTTTGTCCGCACTGCAAACCTTGTGGGGTAGCTACTGTGGTAGTTATTATTTGGTAGAAAAGAAAAGCTGGCGGCCCAGCGAAGTTAACTTGGCTGAGAAATCTCGGAGAGAAAGCGTGGGAAGACAGTGCTCACACAGTTCAAACGGCTGTGGTGAGGAAAGCAGACAGGTACACCAAGTAGCCATATGGTTGAACAGAAAGGTTGTGGCAACCCGGTGGAAAACGGAAGTCCGAAGGCAGGTGCTTAGCAGACCGCGTTTCTCCTGCCTGGACGGGTATTCTGTGCTTCTGTGAATTTGAGTTATCAGCTAGGGGTTCCATAGGACGTGGGCAGCAGAGAGAGGCATGACACAGAGACGGGACAGGACAGGACCGGCCCACAAGCCTTGGAGAGATGGTTTTGGTTTATGAGGCTGCAGAGTTTGGAAGGGGCTGGAAGAGCCCGGACTGCGTCATGTGGGTGGGGAACAGTGAGTGGAGGGATATGGCATCCTCTCTTAGACCACCCTCTTGAGCTCTGAGTTTTGGCTTCGCTGCCTGTTTCACAGATGGCTGTTCCACCTTCCCTTTGAGTTAGCAAAGGTGCTTAGACGTCAACAGAGCACCGCCACTACACAGTTCAAAGGCCATGAGCGCCATAAAAATGGTTCAGACAAGCAAACAAACAGAACCGACCCATTGTTCAGATGTTAAACAAGAATAGCAAAGACGTTTGTGCAGACGTCCTTTTTGTGTAACACAGAGATTACAGCAGAGGGGATGGTGGCAAAGTACAAGGATTCTGCTGAAATGGACAGGGCTGGCCCTAAACGGGAAGACGGGGCCAGAAGTATCCCCCCACAGCAGTTTCCTTCATCAGAACCCACCTTCTGAGACCCACTGAAAGTCCTCCGTCAGACCCAGTGTCCCTCCTCGGATACAGCCTGAGAAACTCTGGAGCACCATCCAGACCAGCTTTTCTGGCTCTGGTCAAGCTCTCTTGGCACCATTTTCTGATGTGTCTTCCCACATTCTGGTTCCCAGCAACTCAAATGAGTACACACTAGTTCCTAGAAGTCACTTTTATTTTACAGAGTAGCCATCCACCTTTTTTTTTTTTTTTTTTGGTTCCCGTATTCTTATTAAAATGTAAGGAACATCTGTCTTCAGACATCGGCCAGAAGTAGCACCCATTCGGGGAATCTCTAATTGGTCCTGTGAGTTGCACCTCCTATGTACATGGAGGAATTCTTCCCACTCTCACCCAAAAAGAGCTCTTCATCTCCCTTGGGAAGTCACTTAAGCCTCTGCCATTCCCAATGACAGGGACTGAGATCAGTCTTGTGATTGTTTGCACATGTAAAAGTATGACTGTCTACCTTCCTCACCAGATAAGAGTATGTCACTGAACTCAAGGGCGGCTCATGTCTGAGACTGATTCATACCTTGCAGGCATAGTAACACACTTGTCACTCCAGGACTTGGGATGATAAAGGCAAGGAAGATCAAGGGTTCAAGGCCATCCTCTGCTACCTAGCGCATTCTAGATCAGCCTGGGCCATGTGAGACTTCATCACAAAAACAAACAAAATAACTCTTTGATTGGCTAAAATTGGCCCTAAAGGTAATTTTAGCTCACGAGGAAGACAATTAGGAAGGGACCAAATCAGATTGTCCTACAGGAAAGGGAATTGGTCATTTATCTGTTAAGAGGGGGCACGAGATGCTTTTTTAAAAAGCACTTAAGCAACCCCCTTGTTTGTGCCTCTCAGCTGAAGCAGCTGGAGTTTTTGCTGGGTCATCATCAGGCAGTTCCTGTTCGATTGTGACAGGAGTGCAGGCTGGGCCCTAGTAAACCTGCAGTTTATCGTTTCTCCACTAAAACACCCCGCAATGCTAAGTCACTGTTTATTTTGCAAAATCGCACTGTGTGTTTACCATGTGCTTAGCACTGTGCTGTGAAAAGACACAGTGTCCTCCAGAAGAGATGCTCGGTGTAGGCACATACAGGGCATGACTGAACAGAGTGGAAAGCACCAAGGTAGGAATCTGCACAGTGTGCTGTGGGATCCTGAGCAAGGCACCTGCCAGCCTCAGGCCAGAGCTTTACACCCAAAGAGGCTGTCACTGCGGCAGATCTGGTGCATGATATAGGGTGTCCCTGCTTCCCACATACATGGGCTCCCCACTCCCAGCTTAGCTCCCCTCATGCCTCGGAGAGAAGGATAACGGTGCAAAGAATGATGTTGGTTTTTCCTGTTTCTTGAAGATTTCTCCATGGACAATGGCAGCTACAATTCAGGCCATGGAGAGGAAGATTGAATCACAGGCTGCTCGACTGCTTTCTCTAGAAGGCCGAACTGGGATGGCGGAGAAGAAGCTGGCTGACTGTGAGAAGACAGCTGTGGAGTTCAGCAACCAGCTGGAGGGCAAGTGGGCCGTGCTGGGGACCCTGCTGCAGGAGTACGGGCTGCTGCAGCGGCGGCTGGAGAACGTGGAGAATCTGCTGCGCAACAGGAACTTCTGGATTCTGCGGCTGCCCCCTGGCAGCAAGGGCGAGGTCCCCAAGGTAACTTTTGAGGCTCCTGGGGTAGGAGCCCAAGGGTCCATGCCTGCAAGTGTGTCTGTGGTTTCAGGTTCCTCTGACCTTTGATGATGTGGCAATGTATTTTTCTCTGAGCAGGAGTGGGGCAAGCTGGAGGACTGGCAGAAGGAGCTCTACAAGCACGTGATGAGGGGCAACTATGAGACGCTGGTCTCCCTGGGTAAGGCCTGACACACTCCTCTGTAAGGTGGGATTTAGAGTTCCCAGACCTCTCTTTGTGATAGAGTTGTCTTCAGGTCAGTGATGTGTAGATCCCTAGATACTTTGAGCAAAGAAAGTTCTCCACCCTCACCTAGCCATCCTTCCTTCTCATGTTGCGGGGTGAAGTGTCAGACACTCACTTCTGCTTGGTGGGATAGCAGACCAACGACAGTGCTAACCTCTGTTCTCACCAGACCCAGAGTATTGACATCTCTACTTTTGCTGAGACTGGAGTACAGGTGGGCCACAGCTCTCCAGTGTGTTTTTAACCAACTCTACTTTAGTGAAGGAATTGTTCTTTAACCATCAATTGGGTTGCTTTTATGTAACCCATCACAGGATCTGTGGAGAATAAGGTAGACCTTGCCTCTCAAAACAGGTGTTCTTTCTGTGCCCCCAAACCCTGCTGCCCCAGCCCCTGGGGCTATTGTCCTGAAAGGCCCAGACCCCTCTTCTTGGCCTTTCTTTCTAGTCAGGAGTGTTTGGTGGGATTGTGAGTGAGTACACTCAGTGTGTTTTGCTTTGCAGACATGCTGCTCCTTAATGTGGCCCTGTAACCCAGCACTGCTAGCCCTGTGGACAGATGACTGTTGGGGTGGGGGCTCCTCTATGTACTCTTGAATATACAGTAGCACCTCTCCCACCGCCTAGATTCTACACAAGATTGTCCCTAGACTTTTCAGCAGAATGCCTACCATTGAGAACTGCTATTTTGTACCAGTCAAGGCATTTAGTTTCTAGGCTGCTAGTGATTTTACAGCAGCCTGTCCCCAGCTCTGATGAAAACATGGCAAAATTAACCCCCTGTCTTTCCTCAGACTATGCCATCTCCAAACCCGAGGTCCTCTCCCAGATTGAACAAGGCAAGGAGCCATGCACTTGGCGTCGCACCGGCCCCAAGGTCCCAGAGGTTCCTGTGGACCCAAGTCCAGGTGAAAGGTTGGGAAAAGGTCAGGGACTCACCAGGTGACCAAATGAACATAGAAAAGCAGAGGTCTAGGGGTGGTGTTACTCTTCTTTCCAAAAAGACACAGAAAGTTTCAAATGAAATCTTTCATGGATGAGTCATAACTGACTTACTCAGTCATGTTGTAGAAACTAGTGATTTCCATCCTGGACATAGAGAGCAAAGCCAAAAGCAGGGGATGAGAGAAGAGGAAGTGAAAAGCTCTAGCTATTCAGAGATGTGCAAGGAGTCATCCAGTCGTAAACGTACTAGGAGTTTCAGAACCCATTGGCAAGCTGTATGGTCCAATGTGATTAGAATCAGATGTTTACTTCAAGTGACTTGGATACTAAACATAGTGTCTCACATTTCCCTGGAGCTAGTCAGCACCTCTTCAAGTTCAGGAAGGATGGGGATGCTGAGTTCCTACATGGAAGACCTTGCTGGGCCGTTTGGCAAGAGACAAAGAGACATTGTCTCTGCTCAACCTCTGCCTCCTCCTTTGTTCCTCGCCTGTCCTGCCATCTTGGCTTTGTGTCCTTGATTCTGTATCACTCAGATCTTCCTGTGGTTAACTCCTATGTAGTTAATTATGTTTTATGTGTTCACTTCATAGAGGTTAAGCTTCATCTCAGACAAGGGCAGAAGCAGGTCTAGGGCTGAGCTAGTTTTCACTAATGCACTAACTACATAGTTCAGCAGATGTAGTTTGAGAGTCTTGTACCAAGGACAGTGTATCAGCTAGATGGTGGAAAGGTGCCTGCTGAGTCCCCTGCCTGGAAGAGGTGGGGGGCACATGTAACCTTGACTTCCAAAGCCAAAAGTGAAAGGTTCCTGGTATCTGATTTTTTTTTTTCTGGTATCTGATGTTATTCCTTAATGTTTGAAACATGTGACAATATCCCTTGTGAAAACCAGTAGGGTCCAAGAAACAGCCAGTTGCTGGCCCTCAGTCTCCACTGTCTGTTGGAACTTGTCGGCAGGAATCAAATGTTGCCTTTCTTCCCTCCTCGGTCCTGGCATCTGGGGTCTCCGCCCTCCTCCAATTCTTGATTGGGTTGGCCCGTGCCCTTGCCAGGCCTCATCTCTTCTCTTCACCCCCTAATGTCTCCATGGTGCTTTTCAGAACCCACCATGCCTAGCAAGTACTACTGGAGCTGGTGGAGTCCCATCGTCTTGCTCAGGCTGAGCCCTGACTCTTTGCAAGTGCCATTGCCCTGAAGCTCTGTTGTCCTCTTTCCCATGACCCTTTGACGTTGGGCTTTCAAGAGGCCAGCGTCCTTGCTCCTCATCATTGACCCTTGCTAGCCTCTCTCTCCTCTCTGCAAACGCTGTCTTGAGCTGAAGCCTCCTTTAGATCTCCAGGCACCTCACCATCCTTCACCTTCCTGCTCTTGAAGATGGCTCTATCCATGTGCTGGCCTTACCTCTCCACCCCTTCATCATCTGGCACTGTTGGTGGTCTCCTCGTTCCTTCCACTGACCCCATTCCTAGCATGTATTCCACAGCACTTCCTGCTGTGGTTCTTGCCATCTTTAGAACGTACAGTCCACAAATCCTCCGTCTGCAGGACCTTCAAAGCCTTCACTCTCTCCTCCTCTATCCCTGTGGCCATCATTAGTTGCCCCTTCATATACTCTCTCACTTTCCCTGTGTTCACCATCTACTTGGAAAACCATAATCCCAGAGAAATCATCTGCATGCTCTGCACCTGCACCCACACAGCTGCCAGTGGCAAACCATAACCCTGCAGCCAGTCCCATGTGGTACTCCTGACCAGCGCTTAGTGGGAGCTTTTATCAGCCAGTAGTCACCAGCACCATCTCAGTTGCCTCGTTAGCTCAGAGCCTGGCAAATTATTGCTCACAGACCAAACCTAGTCCTGGTTATATAGAGCTCACAAAACCAAGAATTTCAGTTTAATATTAAAAGATCATTTTTCATTTTAAAAACCCACTGGGGGTGGGTGCTGGATCAGTGGTTAAGAGCACCTGTTGCTCTTATAGAGGACCCAGGTTATTTTCCCAGTACCCACATGGTATTTCATAGCCATCTGTGAAACTCCATTTCTAAGAGATCTGACAACAGGCACACATGTGCCTTCTGCATTAGACACACATGTGGTACATGTATATATGTATGGACTGAACATTCACACACAAGAGAAAATAAATCTAAAAACAAATTTTTTTAAGGAAAAAAAAAAGCATTCTCATGGCCCTTGCCCTCCAACTTCTTGTGCCCTGCCTGTTCTGTAGCTCCACAGCCCAAGGACGTCCCTTCTGCCTGACCCAAGACTCTGCCCTATGCCACCTTCTCAAGGGCAACAGACATTTCCTCCCTTGGCCCCACTCCTCTCCCAAGACTCCCCACTTTTCTAGCCTCCATTCCGGCTCCAGAGGGAGCATGTATGTCTCCAGGCCATCCCTTTTATCTGGGTGCCTCTCCCACTAAGCCTGACTGTATCAGTCTCCAGTGAACTGATAGTGCCAAAAGGTCTGCCTTCCTCATTGTGTCTAGAGAGTTTGCCACCATGACTTGCTGCCATAATTCATTTTCTGTTATTACTGAACACCAAAGACTGTCATTATAGATTCCCCACCGTCCTAGTCTGGCGGCTGTAGAGTCAAGGGCAAGGGGCCATACCTGGTGAAGCCCTTGTTGCTGAAGGCGACAGAGGACATCCCATTGTGAAACAGCAAATTTCCTTCGCCTTTTACAAAGCCACTCAGGCTATTATGGGGGATCACATACTTGTGACCTTATCTAATCCTGCTTGTCTCCAAAGGTTCCACCTCTAATACATTAACAAAGATGAAGGGATTAAATTTCCAACGTAGGGATTCCAGGGACACACCCAACCGTAGCACTGCTTCCTGAAGCCCTGTCTGGATACACAGGACACCTCTATCTCCTGTGGTTCCTGCCACACCCCTGCTGCCCTTCCTTTGCTGTTTCCTGTGGCCTTGAGACCTCTCTGAAATGGTGGCCCCTCATTTTCACAGTCCCTTCCTCATGGCAGCTTGGGCCTCAGTTCCTATGTCTAGGTGTGTGCCCCTAGCCTTGACACTGCCTGAATTTCCCACACCCCACTGCCTGGACTGTGTTTCCACTTGAGATAGCCATGGTAAATACATCCAAGGCAAGCTGGTAATCTCCCTTTGAAACCCACTCTTCCCTCATTCTCCCTGGCTTCTCCATCCATCCAGCTGTAAGCCAAAAACCCAAGTCCTCTATTCACAACATACATCCACCTTCTCTTTCTAACCCTCCCACTCAGTTACCTAGACTCCTTCCAAACCTCAGTCTCACTGGTCCTGCCCTTAGGCCCTACAGTCTGCTTGGACCCAGAAAAGATCCCCCTAAAGTACATGTCCTAACTTTCCATCCAATCTCCAAAGCCCAGCGAACCTGCCATTATCCTGTATTTCTGCTCTCATTCCACTGTCCTCTAAGCTGTTTGCTGAGCATTCAGAGCTGCCGGTCCCCAATCTTTGGCTGGTGTACTTCTGTAGAGCCACTACAGGCTGGCCTTTGAATGGGACTCTGCCCCGTCACCCTATCTAACTTGTAGCTCTCCCACCCACAATTGTAGTCTCTCTGTTGCAAGTATTTTGTATTTATTCATTATATGCATGTCTTCCCTCCCATTTATAAATCTCAAATGATAAAATGTGTGTGTTTTGATCACAAGTATTTCATAACAGAGAATAGGAATTCAGGAAGTGATTTTGAGTGTATGCTCATTCCATCCTTTAAGATGTGTCTCCGGTACTCTTAGCCTTTGCAGACTGAGTCCTGTTCTCCATGCAGTAACTACTTGCCCTTCATTGCCAAAGTGTTTTGGAAAGCCAGCATAAATGTCATTGTATTTTTACTCTATTTCACGTTTGTCTGTTCTAACTCATTAGGGTGTTGCTGCTGTGGGAGATAGTCCTGCTGTTTTAGTGCAGGCCTTCCTGCCATGGCCTCAGTCCTGGCTTAGAGGCGGGGCCTTCTGCACCTGCCCTAGCCTTTTCAGCAGGTGCTTGGTATTTGAAAACAGCTCTATAGCTGGATGTGACACATGCCTGTAATCTCGGCATTTGGAAAGTGGAAGACTCTTGAGACCAGCTAGGAATATAATAATGAGACCTTCTCTCAACAAGATAAAAGAAAAATCCAGACGTAATAATGTATGCCAGTGTTAACTTTCAGACCACTTAGGGCTACATAGTAAGACCCTATCGAAACAAAACAAGAACAAAAAAAACTTGCAGCATATTTTCCAGTAATGTCTTTCTCTGCCACAAGCAGCAGGGTAGAGCATCCTTGAGCACATCTTTGCATCAATGTGTCGTTGTTTCTTTGGAGCAGACCTAAGGTGCCCGCCAGTGTGTCAGTCCTGGTCACCCCCCTCCCTCCAGTACCCTTGCTCTCCCCAGAGTCAACAGAAGCCTTGCCCTTCAGCATTCGGAAACATGTTTCTGATACCTTTTCATAATTAACATTTGCCAGGCAGGCAGGGGTGAAATTGTATCTCAGTTTAATTTCTGTTTCTCCAACAGAATATCATATCATACAGAGGAAAAAAAAAAAAGAGTCTGCTCATCTCAGGCCAATCAGGAAGCAGAGCAAGCTATTGTCTTAATTTTTTTCTTTAAAAGATTAACTTACGTTTATGAATGTCTTGTCTACACTTATGTAGATACACCATGTGTGTGCAGTACATACAGAGACCAGAAGAAGGCATCATATTCCCCCTAGAACTAACAAATGCTCTTAACAGCTGAGCCATCTCTGCAGGCCCTTTAAATATTTTTTATTTTAATTATATGTATGGGGGAGCTATGTGCACATGAATGCAAGTCAGATCCCCTGGAACTCGGGTTAGAGGCAGCTGTAAGCTGCTTGATGTGGGGATTGAACTCTGGTCATCAAGAAGAGTGCCCTTAACCACTCAGCCATCTCTCCAGCCCCCCTTTAAATATTTTTAAATTACACTTTAAGTTTAGGGGTGTGGA